CCGCCCGCAGCGCCGGTGCGTTACCCTCCCGCCCAATGGCTAAAGCCGCCGGGCCCGCTTCAGCCGCCTGCTTTAGCCGTCCCTCCTTGCAGGATCCTCTCCCTCCCGTAATTCTGCCTCGGTTCCGTGACTACCTTTCCCTCCCTCTGGCCCGCAGCTCCCAGGGTTTTAGACGGTCACCTCCCGTCTTCTGCAAGCTGTCGGCTCTGAGCGTGCGCTCAGCCGCACACCCTCCGGTCTCCCGGCCTTCCCGGCCCCGGACCCCGCCCACAGCCCTCTGACAGGTGGCTCCCCATCTGTCTTCGGTGCCGCTGCTGCAAGCTGCATCAGGGGGCGGGGACTCCACCCTTTCGGTCCTGAGTAAGACCACTTTGCCTTTTTTTTTTTTTTTTTTTTGGCCTCAACCTTGCTGGAAGAGTTACCGCAGGATGTAAAGAGTAACGCTTTCTTTTCTTGCAGGGGAGGTCCAAAACGCGCAGCGTGTGGCTTTTTCTTAAGGGCTTACCGTTTTCGTTTCTAAACCCTCGGCTTCAGGTTTGGGAGCGGTTTGGCGGTGGGTGCAAAGAAGGGAAGGTCATGAAACTAGGTGGTGTCCCCAATAGAAGCTGAGATGTGCTCACAAGAGTGGGTGGCCCATTGGAAAGAGCTCTGAACTGAGAGTTGTAGAAAGACATAGCTTCTGGTTTCACCTCTGGTGCTATTTAGCTGCGTGACCTTGAGCAAGGCACAACTTCTCTAGACTTAAGAGTTATTATCCTTTAAAAAAGTGGATTAGAGTTCATATCTCTAACCGGACTGTAAGCCCTTTGATGACAGAGGCTGTATCTGATTCATAGTCAGCTTCATCACAGAGTAGGCCCTCAAATTATTGAATGAGTAAGCACACCACTCTCTTGGAGCTGAGACTGTAGGATTCTAGTTCCAATGGGAGGTTCCAAAAAGCAGAGCTGGCATTTTTCTTCATTTTTTTCTTTGTTAGTGAAAAAAGCATGTGAAGTTTTGTTTTCTAACTTACCTACTGATCTTATATAGCATTTACAGTATGCTAGGTATGGTTGTAAAAATTGTAAAAACATTGACTCATATACAGCCATCATAGGAGCAGGGAGTATTACTATAGCTATTTTTTTAAAAAAATATATTTTATTGATTTTTTACAGACAGGAAGGGAGAGAGATAGAGAGTTAGAAACATCGATCAGCTGCCTCCTGCACATCTCCCACTGGGGATGTGCCCGCAACCCAGGTACATGCCCTTGACTGGAATCGAACCTGGGACCTTTCAGTCCCCAGGCCGAGGCTCTATCCACTGAGCCAAACCGGTTTCGGCATACTATAGCTATTTTATAGATGAGAAAATCAATGGAAAGAGGGGCTAGGGCTTTTGCCCAGGATTACATAGATAATAATTGGGGAGCTGGGATTAGAATCTCAGCAGTCTGGCTCTAAAGTCCATTTTCTTATCTATTTGGTTATATAAGATTAAAACATTTAATGGTCATAGCTAACATCTTCAGACTACTGAAATATGGGGACTCTTATAATAGAAATGGAATCTCTAAATTTAAAACAGCAGGAGAGTTTATAAAGTCACTAGTGACTATGTTGGAAATAAACAGAGACATATACTATCTTAACATTGTACAATTTATTCCTGTTTGCATTTTAACTCCAGCCATGCTACTGTAATAACCACAGCAATGCTATTTAGCCAAGACTAATTTTTAAAGTGATACTGAGTTTTCTTTTCTTATTTAATACATATGTATATAAATCCATGGACACATTTTTTAATATATCATGGTGGTGTAAAATAATGTTTCACTAATTTGTTTTATAGTCAACCAGTTTGAAACTGTCTTCCTTGCTCTGGTGAAATATATCATTAACAGAATAATGTTCAAGATTAGCCTATATGGCCTGAGATTTTCTGGTAAAAGCTCTATTGCATTGTCTACAGTTTGAGCTGCCATTCCTTGGCTCTGTGGTATTAGTCTGAGAAGATACTTGAAATACATAGCTTTGAACCCAATATAATTTGTGTTGGTCCAGCAGCTCTGTACTCCTGGCTGCTCAGACTGACACTGAACCTTTATTCCAAATAAGCCTTTGTGTCTTAAATAGCCACTGCAGTTATCTTTAAATATCTGACTAGGTCTGCTTGATAACTGGCCAGAGGCATTGAGTGATTCATTCAGTCAACATTTACTGAGGGTCTATTAGGCTATGAGGACATAAAAGTGAATACAATTCAGTTCCTGCTCTCAAAGAGCTTATAAATAAATGTGTTGAAGACAGAAATATATTTGGATCCTGAGACTTAAAAATGTTTTATTTCAAGCAAATGTCTTAGAAGAAATCAGGATTGGAAATGAAGGACTGGATTAGGTTATTCTCAGAAGAAGGAAACAATGTTGCTGGAAGCAGCTGGAAAGATCAGCCCAAGAGTAAAGAAAAAGTGAGGTTGGTTGAAAGAATCTACACTAATAAAAGAGAAACATGGTAATTGGCGTACGACCGCTACCCTTCCCATTGGCTAATCAGGGAGATATGCAAATTAACTGTCAGCCAAGATGGCGGCCGGCAGCCAGGCAGCTGATGCGAACAGGGAGGCTTGCTTCCTGCAGTGAAGGAGGACTCCAACGTTCCCCGCCTGCCTTGCCGGCCTCTGAGCTTCAGTTGGAAACATTGTAACATTTATAGAAGATAAACAAAACCCCAGAAACCTCCTGTCAGTCAGCCGGGATCTCAGAGCTGGAGTCGCAACATTGTTTCGAATACAGAAAACAAAGCCCAGAAACCTGCTTCCACCAGCCGAGCCTCAGAGAGAAAGCC